TTCCTCACCTTTCTCCTTGTTGCCATAGTGGCTTCCTCACTTTAGTCAGGATTTGCCTTGGTAGTTAAAACAGTCTGTATGAACAAATGTTAGCCCCATAAAGGCATGTGAGTTTGAAAGCAAGTTTTAATCTCAGTTTTTGAACATATAATTTAATTATTTTCAATGAATTAATCTTCCATCAAGCAACTGCATTTTTAATCTCCAGTTCCTCTTAACCCTTAAGGTGCCAATTTAAAAGCTGCCTACACTTGTCAGGACTACATGCCAAGACACAGCGCTCTTGTATGTCACCTGCACATTTGGTAAAAGATGGGAGGCAGAACTGGTTGCAGTACATTCTAGAGATGCTTAAGACATAAAATCAGTTGCTCCACTTTATCCAGGATAGTATATTAAAAAAAGCTTCTTGTTGTTGTTAGTCACGAAGTCGTGTCCGACCCATTGCGACCCCATGGACAACATTCCTCCAGGCCTTCCTAAAAATCCCAAAATTCAGGCCAGAGCAAAGAATTAATACTACAGAGAAGCCAAACTGCTGGCTCAGTAGCAAATTTCATATAATCTAGTCCACAAGGTAGGGTTTATGAACTACAAAGTTAGGTTAACAGACAAGTCCACCCAAACATGTCATGGCAATGTGCTCAAGGAATGATGCAAACATGAAGCCTCATGTTGCACAGTAAAATTTGAGGACATTCTTCACCTGAAACTTATCCAGTATGCACACAATCCAGGACTGGTGCTTGGTTCTCAGTTTACAGACCAGTGTGACGCAAGTCAGCAGTCAGAGGCCCAGGTTTCAGGTATAGCCTCTCAAAAGACAGAACAATCATCTAGCTATACATGATATAGAAATTTTGCTGGGTGAAATATTATGGATTTGTTATGGATCTGGGTTGTGTGTAGAGGATTTTCTTCACTGGAAGACCCCCTTTATGTAATGGCTTACGCAGGAAAAAATACAATAGACTATATCCACAAGCTGAGCCTAAACTGAGCACTCTAGCCTTCCTATCTGCTTGGGAAGCTTTAAGCCAGATTGCCAAGGGCCCTCCCAACAAATAATAAACAGTGAAGCACTTTGGATTTACTTTCCAAAAGCCTAGAAGATGCACAATTCAACCCAAGTTCATTCATAGCATATAGGGAATATTGTTTGAAAACACCAGGAAAATTCATTTTAATACCAATGAAGCCAAAGGTCTAATGCAAGGAGAGGGCAACATGTGACACTACAGATTTTTCTGGCCTACAGTTTCCCTAAGCCCATGCCAGCATAGCCAGTGGTGAGGTATGGTGGAAGCTGTAGCTCAAAATAAATTCAGCTGTCGCTGCCTCACCTGCCACAGACCGCCCCACAAACCAGACCAGCCCTGATCAGGCCTGCCTGCCTCTTTGTTGTGGCCCACTCTCTTGCACTCCACCTCGCCAGCCCTTGCTGGTGGGAGCAGCTGGGCCCAAGCTCATGGGAAGAGTCGCAGCTTCCCACCTATGGCACGGAGGAGGAGGCAGGACTTCTGGACTGGACACTGTCCCAGAGCCTCCTTAGAGGCTTGCCCTCTAAGGGCAGTGCGCTTGGGCAGAGCTCTTGCGATGGCTGCTGAAGGGCAACTGCAAAAGGGCTCCACCTGTTTGATGCTCATTTGATGCTGGGGCAGCATGGGTGGGGCCCATGAGTTGCTGTTAGACCCTGATTACCAGGTGATGGTTGGCCCTTGATAGATCCTCTGACATAACCACATTGTTTTAACCGTGTTACTAGAAGCCCCGGGGAGCAATGGGGTACCCCAATTAAGGTGGTTATGAGTAGGGGGAAGTTCACTGCTGGGAGAGTAGCATGTAAGCAAAGGAGAAGAGGGGCTAGATGTTTGATTGCTATCCCCTCTTCTGGGCACTCTCCAGACCTGTTGATTCCTGGCAGCCTTTTCAGCCTGCCCTCAGGCTTGGTCGTGCTGTTGCTGAATGCCAGGTCGGTACAAAATAAGATCTCACAGATCCATGATTTGATAGTGGATGAGGGGGCCAACCTGGCTTGCTTCCTGAAGATGGGTGGGGGAAGAGGAGGGAGGAATAGCTCTCTTACAGTTGTGTCTCCAGAGTACTGTGTCCAGCACCAACATCACCCAGAGGGCCAGGAAGGAGGGATTGCCATGGTCTATAGGAATTCAATCCCCCTCTCAAGGCTCGCTGTTCACTTGAGGGTGGGTCTTGGGTGTTTATACCTTGTGCTGGGCTCCAGGGACAGATTAAGGATTTTGCTGATGTACCAGCTACCCAGCTATCTCCCTGCTTGAGCTGATGGAGGTGGTTTCAGAGCTGGTGTTGAGGTCCCCCAGGAGCAACATACTGAGGGTCCTCAACTCCCACACTGAGGCTACTTTACTAGGGGCAGCTCAGGACTTAATGGCCATCATGACAACCACGGGGCTGTCTCAGCATGTCACCGGCCCAACACTCACAAGAGAAGAATTCTGAGATGAGGTGGCACATATTTCATTGGCAGAGATACAGAGGGTGCACTTCCTTCGCCAGGTACATCAGGAATACCTGAAAAGCTAGATTAAAATGGGGTGAAGAGTATAAACAATAGAAGATAAAATGCTGGGCCTGTTCAGACGTAATGCAGCCTGGGAACTTGAGGTTGTTCATGTGTCAAACTATTCCAAATTAAATGACCTGCCCCACAATCAACGCATACATTGCTGCCCTTACATCTGAGCATAGTCACTCAGTTAGTGCTCTGTTTCTGATACATTTCCAAGAAAAGTCTCTGAAAATGACTTCTGCTTATGAATGATACAAACAAACAAAAAAACCCTAAACTGGGCTACAGAGGAAATGCTGGTGTGAGTACACTGCTTTTGGATCTATGTAATTTGTGTGTATCTTCACTTTCTTACATTAAAACTGACTAATAAGAACAAGAACAAAATTGCAGAACAGCCTTTTCACATATCAAACTGTAATTTATGCTCATTTGGCAACTAACTTTTCCTCCCATATAAACCAGGGCTAGCACTATATGGCTGTTCCCCTGGAATAAACAGCCTAAAGCATATTAGAGTATGGCTCTTGGACATTATGTTACCTACCCATGATATACAGTGAAAAATGACAGCCAAGATCAAACACAGACTTTAATCTTCAGCTGCTGAGTCAGATAGATATAACGATGCTGATGAATTCTATTATATCATTCAAAATAGTGGGAAACATGAAAAGGTTACAAGTGGAAGGCAAGGATGTTTTAATGCCTTGCAAAATTCTGTGAATATGGCTGGGTGATGGGCTATAAAAAGGGCTTCCCTGTTTGGAAGTATGCTTACAACATATCGGTAGAATAATTTCAATTATTATTATTATTGGTTTTATTTCTACACTGCCCCATAGCCAAAGCTCTCTGGGAGGTGTACAGCAATTCATAAAATACAATATAAAATGTATTTTCCCATACCTGCCTTTAGTGTTTTATTCCCATGGGGCTACATACATTCCATTTAAAAAAACAAGCAAGTTTTATATCATGCTTGGATCCAAGCAGGACTTAAATCACTGCCACCGCTGCCCTCCAGTTCTTTTTTCCCCAATAAAGCTGGGTCTTTTGATTTCAATAAATATCAGAATAGGGGGCATACCTAGTAGAATTCTGCAGAACGCTCTTTCCATAGATGAAATGGGGGGGGGGGGATCCACGAACCAAAAACAGAGATTTAGAACCAACACACCAAAATGCCATTATTGATATATGCAACTTAAATATATATCCAAAAAGTTCAGAATTCCCAATGTACTCTGATAAAGCTGTTTCTTTGCTAATAAATAATAAAGCAATAATTGTTCAGTCTATATAACAAACTTGGTAGACATCCTAATGTGAGCCACTATTTCTCAGACTCAGTTTTCTTTCTGCAGTGAACAGTAGTATCAACCCACCTCCTAGGTGTTCTCCAAAATTGCTGAATTAATGTATCTGGCATGGCACAAACACTCTAAAGTGCTATAAAACTGACCATCATCATCATCGATACAAAGCAAAACCCTGTATCCAAGTAATGTGTGGGGCTTGAATTTTGTGCATGGTGGAATGTGTTTCTGAGAGCCATACCTAAAGCATTCCTATTCTTTTAAGATTCTCCTTATGAGGCAACATCAGCTGGTCAGTTTTTGCTTGCTTTTTCTGGAGCTAGATCTTGATAAGACTGCAAGGGTAGATTTTGTTTGAAGGGGGCATATCCTTCTACAAGATAACCCTTGCAGAATGACCCCTGAGATTACTTCCTTGCTGTATCTAATCTTCCTGCCTCCTTCGAACATCCAGAGATTACCGTTGGGCATTTACCTTCTCCCTTATTGTACGGTGTCCGTGACTCACATGATATGACCCTACAATTTGCGCCGTCTTGCCTTTGTTTGTTTTGTTTCGCTTTCTGAAATTTGTCATGTTCTATCATCTGCTGAGAAGGCGCGTTGCAGAGCAAGACTTTTGCAAGGGACGGCTTGCGCTGCAAGGAGCCAATAGGTGGTGTGAGTCGGCCCACGGCGCGGCAGCAGCTGTTGGCTGCCTCGCGAACCCCGAAGCTTTCGCGGCGGTCCGTCCCTTGGCTTGCAGATAACCTTTAAAGAGGGGGGAGGAAACCCCAAGCCAAGCCAAGCCAAGCCAAACCCTCCAGCCAGACTGGATCACAGGTGAGTGAGCAGGCCCCTTCTTGGCTGTTCGGGAGCCTTGGCATGGGAGAGAAGGTAAGAGAACGAACCAGGAGGGGGCCAGCGGTAGACCAGGCAATGCCCAAATAAGCGGTGAGCTAGCGGCTGTTGCTTTTCCCGCTTTCCCCCCTTTTTTACTCGCCTGCAGGGGGGAGTAGCCAGCCACTCTCTAGCCCAGCCGGCCTCTCGCACACGGCAGCAGCAGGGGGAGCTCGAGCCTGGAGGGAGCAGCAGCAGCAAGAGGAAAGTCTACCAGGGCCAGAGCTCGAGGGAGCGGGAGCGGCAAAGGCAGTCTTGGAGACCAAGCGCCAGAGCCGCCCCAGGATGCCGCAGTAGCGCCTGCTGCTTGCCCAGGCTGCAATAACTTGGGCGCTCCCTCGCAGCCCTGCCTGCGTCCGCCTCCTTCAGCGCCTGCCCCACTTGCAAGTAGGAAGCGGCGGCGGCTTGCGGAGGTGTTGTTGTGACCGGCGGGAGGCGGCTGCCCCTAGTCGCTTTCCTCGCTGAGAACGGGAGGAGGGCGCGCGCAGTCAAAACACGGGCCGCTGCCGTCGGATGCCTGCGTTACGCCACGCCGGTGCTGCTGTTGAGGCCTGGGCTCCTCTGGAAGCGGTGACAGGGAAAGTAGACGCGCCGGAGTCGAGTGCTCGATCAGGAGGAGGAGGTGAGGGGATCGGCAGGTAGGCACTTCCCCCGGGGACGAAACGCCTCTCTTGATCTGTGTTTCTGTCTGTCTCTCTCTGGCGGGTCGATGGTGCCGTGTGTGAAACCTGAGACGGAACAGGGGGGTATGAAGGGTGGGCGAGGGGGGTTGATAAAGCGGAGAGGGATGTTTCGGTCCTGCCCTGCGCTTCTTGCGAGGCAGAGAGAAGGGGGCAAGAGCTGAAATGGACGTGTCCGGCTTTAAAAGCACCGTAAATTAAAATGTAACGCACTTCCCTTTGCCCCAGGCAGTAGTGGGCACCCCCGTTTTGGGAGTGTTACAGAGACTCGGGAGTCAGTCCAGTTCTATCCAGTCTAGCCCAGTTGAATCGAATCACTTCTCGTTATGGCTTTCACTAAACTAAAGGAGCGAGCAACAGTGTTTTTAGGGTGGGTGGGTTGAATTTATATTTCTCTGTTTTTGGCCTTGCTTTAGAAAGAGCAACAGCGAGCGTTACAGACCAGGAAACTCCCCCATGCCACCCACCACGCATCCTATACGAATTCTACGGTACTAGGATGTCCTGGGGGGTGGGGTGTTCCTTTTTTAAATAACTTGGACATAATTATTTATCAGGATTCTTTATAATCCATCAGGATAGCTGAGGCTGGGAAACAACTGTGTTTTTTATCTTTGGGATTGCTGTGTACAGCAATTGCATTTCTTATTCTCTCTTTCTTTAATCTTTGATTTGATTTTGTTTTGCATTTTGCCCTTGAAAGAGTCTTTTTTCTTTTTAAAGTTGATTTAAAAGATGATATACTAGAAGAAAGGAGAAAGCCCATGTCATACAGTGTACTCTAGCTAAGTACAACTTTTGTAAATGTTACCTGGAATTATAATACCTCATCTTGTTTTGTCACTTTTCCCTCCTTCTAGGGACCTCAATTCTATTTTTTCACCAATGTGAATTTCTGGCATTCCTAATGCAATACTGTGTCCTCATTTAACTCTGTAGAAGCTACCTGATAGTGTGTAAGACTAGAGTTGAGCTCTTTGCTGGTATATAAAGCTTTTTAAGGGTTGTACTTTAAGGTCTTGCCAAATACATCTGGACTACTTTAGTTAATGGACTGCAAAAATTTCACTTGAGTGTACTTAATAGTATTCTTTTGGCCCTTATTTTAACAACAGAAGCATATTTTAGTTTAAAGCACAACTCTATGGTTCTGATACTTCCCATGATACCATGGGAAGATGGTTTAAACTAAGTCAGGCTTTTAATGTACCCAGCTCAGTCCTGTCAACAATTACTGGCTCTCCATTATTTGAGACAGTGGTCTTTCTTTATCTAGAAATGTGGATTAAACTGGAAATCTTATGTATGGAAACTTTAAAGTCCATTTTTTTAATGATACCTTTTTCCTACAGACTTGAGGTGTGCCATTTTAATTAACAGGAACTGTATTTATTCAAGTGTCTGAATGAAGTTTGTAAAGAATATCTTCAATAAGTGCAAAATTTTTGACATTTCCCAATTTTTGTTCTGTGGGATTATACTACTCTAAAAAGGATCTACTGCTCTATTTCCCACCTCTATTATTCCATTATATGACTATTCTGTGCAGAGATTTATTTTGTGTAGCCTCTGTACAATGATGGATAAAAATCAGTGATGTAAAAAATATAAGTGTATCTCTCTTAAAAATAGGACCTGGTTTAAAAATGTAATTCAGTACAAATTTGTTAAACCTGTATTTACAAAAATAAATTATATTTGTTATTAACCATGGTTTGTTATATATGAAACAGCCCCATCTGACAAACTGTGGTTTCTGAGAGGCCACTAAACCAGGATATGAACAGAGAAGCTGATTTAGGCATATTGAGGTTTGGTGTTACATTCAAATGGATGTGCTGTGTTTTGGGACATTTCTTTTTTGTCAAAAACCATTACTTGGGATGATGGAGAAGGGGGAAACTGCACAAAACATGGGTTTGGTGTTAGCTATGAACCAACCCATAATATTTTAAAGCTCAATCCATATCTTAAAGTTCAAACATGGCTGTCTGTCAAACACTGAGCTAAAGGAAGCTTTTCTAGCTAAATAATACCCTTAGGGAAAATCTGAATGCTTTCAAGTAAGTATTTTATGGTGCAGCCACACTGCCTCATTCCAAGAACTTTATGGTGATGTCAGATAATGTGGACCTCAGTTTGTAACTCCTGTATTCTCCTCTCACTACTTCTAATTTTTTATCAGAAAAATAGGGGAAAAAAACATTAAGGAGGAAGAAATAGCAACTGCTTGGTGCTTTTAACTGTTAGGAGTTCTCTGTCTAGTAGTACCCTATTTGACATCTATGGTTAAATTTTCTAAATGATGTAAGTTACATTATTATAGGATAGTGCTAGCAAAACATTACTGGTGTTACTAGGAGATGCTATCCATTTATCAATAGGGGACCATCCATGAGTCTCCTGTTTTATGTTGTCCAACTATCTAAGGTATTTTCTTTTCTTAAAATGACTACTACATTGTATGGACCCTCTGTGTTCTTTCATGCTATGGAAAATTATTTTGCCCTTGCCTCTGGAACATTCTGGACAAATATTCTGAGTATGCTTGTTTTTGCTCAGAAATATTTCCAGTTTTTCAGTAGAACTATTCAAATACAGAACTTCTCAATAAGGCTGTGTAGGATTGCAGCCTTAGCCTCCAAGTAACTGATCTGCCTTAGTACTCTTGCATGTGCAGAGAATCAAAGGGTACAATCCTATGCAAGTTTAGATGGAAAAAGGCCTACAACTCCTAGCATGCCCTAGCCTTTTCTTTCTAAACTTGCATAGCATTGCGCCCGTTGATTCTCTGCACATGCAAGAGTACTTCGGGGCAAAAAGAAATATGGACAGCATATTTAAAGCTCTTGGATTATATTCCTATTTATTTGCAAACTATTTAAACTGTTAGAGCAGCCTGTTGGTAGAAATGCTTGTTTGGGAAATAAGAATATCAAAACGGAATAGAAGATATAAAAGACTCACTTACATTGAGAAGGCTTCTTGGTGATTTAAATTATTGATTTAGGTTACCTTATTTCAGATGTGCTATGTACAAGCACATACACACTAAGACTTCTTTGGAAACAGACCATTTAATGTGTGGAGGCTGAGGATATGGCCAGTGCTTCATGAAATCCAAACTGGCTCTTTACAGGCTTAGTTTTAAACAGACCTAAATGTGTACAATGTGTAAACAAACCCTTGAAATTATGCCATCCAAAAGACAAATTATCTACATGAGCAAGTATAATAATATGGCATTTAAAATTTAGCCAGAGTAGTTGATAGGAGAGAAATTATATCTTTGTTTTCTAAAATGTAAAGTGGAATAGAAATTAATATTAAAGATAAATGCATAGGGAAGTCTGTAATTGAACATAAAGTGCTGACAGAAGTACCCCAAAGTGGATTTTATGTCAATCACAGCCTCTAACCAAAATTTGGATTATAAATTATGAATTCTTTCTATATGAATTTGGAAGAACTTGTGTTGCTTAAGCAAAAGTGGATGTATTTTCTTGATGATCCTTTAAGAAGATTCATGCTTTTTGGCACTAATTCTTGAAGTGAGTTAGATATGTTTTAGGCTGCAGTTTCTTGTATGCTTCCTAGGGAACTGGTCTGCTTACCTGTTTAGGTTTGCTCTATAACTGGTAAACAAGAAAATGTACCAGTCATGTTGTGAATGCAGAGTGTCAGTAATTCTATTCTTTTTCATCTTGTTGACTAACTTAGATGGTGTTTCAATAATCCATATTGGAGTTATGAAAGTAATTGTGGTACCTATGAAATTAATTTCAAATTTTGTTTATTTCCTTCCTTTTTTGGTGGCTACCTGTTTGCTTAACTAGCTGAACTTATGTACTCTTTGTTCTATAATCTTGACATTTAAATATAAAGCTGTTTAATCTCTACTATCTCATATAAGATGAAATGTATTACTTTAAAAGAAGTTAAATATGAAATTAGAAATCAAGACAGAGCTGCTACAAAATGTGACAGCATTTCCTGTTCCTTGGTGCCAGTAGAAAATATTTTCCTCTTCTTTCTCTGAGCTGGAAGGAGAGAGTAAATCTCTCTTGTTGGTGGCTAGGCTTGAATGGGCATGAAGGTGCTCCCTTCATTCATTCAGACTGTTGTGTGAATAGGTAGAATATGAATATTAATATTTGACAAATCGTCAGATTGGTTCTTTTGTTACATAGAATAGTTTCCTCCTACTCAGTGGATCAAATGAAGACACTGATTTAATCTAGAGACTGAGGGTACTTCTATTTGAGATATTTATCATACAATAATTCTCCCTCATTCATAGAATTTTATGGAGGGAACTCGAACCAGAGACTTGTTCCATTTGTAAAATGCACATATTTTCCTACAGTTTCACCTGCCATTTTTTCTAACTACAAAAAATCTACAATCTACAAAAAGAGAGCCAGTGTGGTGTAGTGGTTAAGAGAATGGGACTGGAACTCAGAGGATCTGGGTTCTAGTCTCCACTCAGCTATGGAGCGAGCTGGGTGACTTTGGGCCAGTCACAGACTCTCAGCCCAACCTACCTCACAGGGTTGTTGTTGTGGGGATAAGATGGAGGAGGAGAGATGATGTAAGTTGCCTTGAGCCCTTTGTAGGAAAAAGGCAGGATATAAACAGCAATATAAATAAACAAACAAACAAATAAATCTAATAAGGATGGAACAGCAGTGCAATTTGCAGTGGATGTGGACAAGAATATGTGCAATTGAGCATGGTGGAAAGTAGGATGGATATGATTTGAATCACTACTCAGTAAGACTCAAATCATGTTTTTGCATGCATGACCGTTTTACCCATAAGTAGAGGAACTTCATTAAAATATTCCCAAACTGGGTCCCCTTTACAGCCTGCTTGCCATTACAGGTTTTCTCTTCCAGGGAAAGAATAGCATGGCAAACCTCAGGCAATACACAAAAAAAATTCCAAGGACTTGTGGA